GAGGCTGAGGCAGGAGAATCACTTGAACCTGGGAGGTGAAGGTTGTAGTGAGCCGAGATCGCGCCACTTGCACTCCACCCTGGGCAACAAGAGCGAAACTCCATCTTAAAATAAAACAATAAAATAAAGTAACATATAGGGAGTTGGGACGGTTATTTCAATTAGCTTCTTCATCTCCCTGCTGGCTTGAGATCGCCCCCTTGTGGCCCATGCCACAAGGTGCACCGGAGGCTTCTCCAGGTCATAGTGACATGCTAGAGAACGCTAAGGTGACCTGTAGAGAAGCCCTCATCACTGCCATACACAGATCAGGAAACCAAGGCCAAAGAGGGGTGTGATGACACCCAAATCACTCCAAGTCAGCTTGCCAGAGTGGCACGTGAACCTGACTGCCCCACTAAGGCTCAGCCCTGAGTGGTGGAGAGAATCCGGGGACCCGTACCTTCCCGGCCCTCTCGTTTTCTGTCTGCCCACTTATATTCCACGGGCCCCTCTGTCCTGCCCATTCCTCTCTGCAGATCTCTTGGCACAGGAAGCACAGTTTGTGGTGACCATTGGAAACGTCAGGGGACTTCTGGACACCTCTCTCTTGGACCCGGAACCAGGGCCCGAAGGCCCTTTCATCACTTACAGCTATTACGTGACCTACGATTTTGTGAAAGACGAAGAAGGTGAAGCGAATGAGTACACGGACGTGCTGGCCGAGGTGCGCCCCGGGCTGTCCCCGGGAGTATGGGGGCCCTTGTGCAGGCTGAACTGCTTCGTGGACTCAGGAAAATCCTTTTAATTTATGTATTTATTAATTTATTGAGGCAGAGTCTTGCTCTGTCACTCAGGCTGGAGTGCAGTGGTGTGATCTTGGCTCACTGTGACTTCTGCCTCCCGGTTCAAGTGATTATCCTGCCTCAGCCTCCCCAGTAGCTGGGATTACAGTGCCCGTCACTACACCTGGCCAATTTTTATATTTTTAGTAGAGATGAGGTTTCACCATGTTGACCAGGCTGATTTTGAATTTCTGAATTCAAATGATACTCGGCCTCCTGAAGTGCTGGGATTACAGGTGTGAGCCACCATGTCTGGCCAAGGAAAATCCTTTTTTGTGTTTTTTAAGATGGAGTCTCACTCTGTTACCCAGGCTGGAGTGCAGTGATGTAATCTCAGCTCACTGTAACCTCCCAGGTTCAAGCGGTTCTCCTACCTAAGCCTCCCGAGTAGCTGGGATTACAGGCGTTGGCTACCACACCCAGCCAATTTTTGTATTTTTAGTAGAGATGGGGGTTTCACCGAATTGGTTAGGATGGTCTTGAACTCCTGACCTTGTGATCTGCCCACCTCAGCCTCCCAGGGTGCTGGGATTACAGGCGTGAGCCACTGCCTCCAGCCTGGAAAATTCTTAATGTGGAATCTGGTGATTCATGCAGGGACCTGGCTTCAGCTCAGCCTCTTTCTTGTAGCTAGAGCAATTTTCAGCCACACACACACTCCTCTTGCCCTCTTAAAATCTGAGCCTAAAAATAAAAAAATTAAAAAAAATAAAAATAAAAAATCTGAGCCTAAAAAGAGAGCCACCTAGCGTTTCATAACTCGGCCCCTTGCTCCCAGCTCCATTCTGCAATTTCTGCAACTCCTTCTATCTCCCTCCACATCAGAAGTAAACCCAAGGACACCATCCGACTAGGGGAAGCGTGATGACACTGGTCACCTGCTCCCACGTGGAAGTGGTTATTGCTTTTACACTTAATGTAGGTCTTTCAGAAGAGACAAGGGCTGGGCGCGGTGGCTTAAGCCTATAATCCCAGCACTGTGGGAGGCCGAGGTGGGTGGATCACGAGGTCAAGAGATCGAGACCATCCCAGTCAACATGGTAAAACCCCGTCTCTACTAAAAATACAAAAAATTAGCTGGGCATGGTGGCGTGTGCCTGTAATCCCAGCTACTCAGGAGGCTGAGGCAGGAGAATTG